TGCACACGCATCCGTGACCAGACCTGGAATGGAACCCAGGCAGAATCTTCAAGTTTCGTGACCACTACATTTCTATTGCCTCATTGGGTCGGAATACAATGGTTTTCATAATCTTACTTCTGTTGGTTCAATGTGGTCTTCTCACACCTGATTTAGTTCATCCAACCGGTCTAGATTTCTAATTCGAAATAGTTGACTGAGTCAAAGATGGGCAAAGTTGAGAAGTCCCATACTAGAACGAAACAGCTGTTTAATGCTTCAGGTTTTTCATTGGTTCTCCAAATGATGTCAGTCTTTGGTGAACATCAGCTTGAACTTCTTGGTTTCATCCAAGACATTATCACGAACAGCAGAACTGCACAATGAAGAATCTTTATCATGTTAAACATCATGGTTGACTGTAGCTCGAAAAAGTAATCCGATAACAACATGAAGATAAGATTATAAATAGGAAGGTGCAGTCTTGTTATGTAATACACGCATATATATGTACACAAACCTAGTTAGCACTCATTTCCTGAATTGTAATATAAGAATTCATGTGATGATTGTAGAACATCTAGCTAATTTGATTATAACTTTACGAGAAAGTTATGAAAAAGTTTGTAAATTACCAACAATCGAATTCGCACTTAGCAAGGCGTAGGAAGCGAATAAACAACAGATAACGACTGCTTCACATTCTTCAGATACAGAAAGCCTATTCAGCACTTGCCAACTTGCATCACATATGGCGCCGGCTGGCGAGATATCCGACCATCTATCAAAGGATGAGTACACTGTGCTATAGTCTGTTCCATCCTGTTCTACTGCTATGGGACATGACCGTTAAAAGTGGAAGGCATCAAGCGGTTACATGTGTTATGATCATAGATATCTTCGTGGCATTGCTCACGTTTGATGGTATCACCATATCAGCAATGCTGGGGTCAGGTGAAGGGTACTTGGCAAAACAAGCAAGTCGATTGATTATGTCGTGAATGTTAGTCAACTAAGATGGCTTGGAATTGTGTTGCGTATATCGAAGTTGAAGATTAAGTTAAAAGAGGGTTCAGGATGACTAGACGGAGACCTAGTGTCACTCGATGAAATCTCTTACTACTGGTGTGAGTTGTGTGGGGCGATGTACACTACCTGGTTAAGGTTTCTGAGAGGAAAGTAATCGTTGGTTGAGGAATGTTGTTGAAATGGATGGAAATCGATCACAATGGCGGAGATTTAATCACACATTGACGTCATCTAAAGCTATAGAATATGCACTAACCGTTGTCCTATCTATTTTGATATCACTCTTATTCTGTCCAACTATCTCAGTTCACTTCTATGAAGTTCGGCAACTGAAGCCGATGAACTTGTGTGCGGGCTTCTACGTTGGTTTTGCCAGTAAGTCAGTCAGTCAGCCGCATATTTCTTGTTTTCATTCCGAATAAGAGGATGAAAGTTAAACTTGTTTTAAACTGAATCATTTAGTAAAATGAAACGAATTTTCTATTTTCAGGATAGTGAATAGAAAAGTGCTTTAAGAACCCTCTAAAGTGCTTTATTTTAAGCTAATATCCAAAGGTTTTATCACTGGTCTACTTATATTATAGATGACTTTAACAGTGAACAGAAATATCACTCAACTATATGCTACAATATCTATGACAACATTACTATCCACTAAATTTTAGCCTGCCATAAACATGATGGAATATACAAGTAATGCAAACTACTCTAGTTTAGTTTTATATTCTAGGCTATATAAACCACAATTATTGCTCAAGAGTTGATGATACTATCTAGTTGGTTAAGGCAAAGGAGGTAGGTGTAGTGAATTTCTTAGTCTAAGCTCAAAATAGTAAGCTAGTGTATTCTTTCCTTTAGTGTAGTAATTACATCTTATTGTCATACTGTTAGATAATGATTATTTTTTCCATTTTAGCAATTAATTTGGTATAAAATAATCTTGTATCGAGTAATTTTAATTTTTTTGTTTTAATCAGTAAGAAATTCATTTGTGAAATGACTGACTACTGAATAAATGTTTACTAGCATATCTTATCACAAATAGATCCAGTATGTTCTTTGTGAAAAAGAACATTGATATCATTGATGGGACAAGTGAGATTATTATTATTATCACTATTACTATTATTATTATTATTATTATTATTATTATTATTATGCTTGAGTAAATATTGACAGTAGACAGTATGCCTGTATGAACAGTAGTAATATAAGTATTAGTAGCTCTTATTATTATCATTTACAATGCTACTACTACGACTTTGCTTGATGCCTTACTCGTTTCTTTGCATACTGTCAATGAATCATTTTTATCCCATTCATATTCTCATGCAAGAGATATATCTAGTTGCCTTCTATTCAGTATATTATTTTCGCCTTATTCACATTATAGAAAATACAAAACTGAACTGAAATCAGTAAGTATTTTGTTTCTATTCACCTATCTACTTGTCTGTCTATCCTTTGACTTAATCAACTTTTTTGGTAATTGTTTGCACTACAGTCTATTGGGCGTGGTTAATATTGAATACAACTAAATGAGAAGTGAACAAGCATTTGTTTATGATGAAACCTAATGCTGTTTATTAACGAAAAGGATATTAATGGATAGGTTATGCAAGTTAAGTGATGCAACAGAGGATTATGAACTATCATTTAGCTTGCTTACTCCATTAAAAAGCTTTAAAGGAAGTAGTGTATTTGAAAGGAATAAAACAACAATGGTTGAAGAATAAAATGGATTCATTTTATTCTCGTGGTATCATGTCAACTTCTTATAACCTAGAATATTTAAATACATAGTTTTATGTTATTGATAGATATTGGTTAGCAGAGGAATGCAGGACTCGTGTTTTATCCTATTTTGAACTCATCAGCTAGATAAACTTACCTCTCAGTAGGCGGTTTTGTTCCTACCAGGACTTGAAGTTGGAATCGAGCACTTCAAACGACAAAGCATTATCTACCATACCACCGAGTCGCCATAGCTACTTCTTGTATCAATGAGTACAATTTTAGTGTTATTACTTGTATTTTCCCCAGAAACAAATAACAAGAAACATGTTAACCACTACCTATTATTGGGATATAATTGAAACACAGGCGGTATAGAGGCATCCGGATAGTAGACCAGATGGCAATAGACACCGATCAATTCAGTCCACGCCTAAGCAACAACATTAATATATAGTTTTATCGAAAATTTGAAGGGAACAGAATATTGGTCAGTGGTTAAGATGGATAAAATTAGTGATAGATGAAAGGACACTCATAATGGCAAATTCATGGAGAGTTAGTAAATGGTAGTGAGTTCTTATACTTACATACATTGCCCAATGAAAGTTTGTTGAATAAAAATAAGGACATGAGTAGTGATCCAAATAAAAGGACTTCACACTAATAGATTACGTAAGTAGGTCATACGATAAACAAGCATAATATTTCTGGTTAAACTCAGTTAATTAAAAACATTCGATAAGAACACAAGATGATGCAATTGAATAAAAGTCGAAAAATAAACACGTAGAGTTGATAGAAGACGATGTAATCAGATAACGGTAGAGAAAGGTTATCAAGGTAGACAGAATTTGACTATAGCTTCTTTCTGAAGATATAAATCACGTTTGAGGCATCTGATGGCAATGACCTCAGCGGACTTCAAGAGAATTAAGAATGTTTGTCTGTCTGTCGATTATTATCAGGGAATTGAAAGCATCTGTTTAATGTCAAGTGTCAGTTATGCCCTAGTCATCTTTCAACCTTTCTCAACTCTTACTCCACTTAACCACTGGGACAAATAATTTACTTTTGTGAAATAAGCTTTTAGCCAATACCAATTTGTATTCGATAGGAAAAAAGTTGATAGAATTCAGATAGGTGTTATTCAATGTGTTATTTCTATGAATGGACGCATAGAACGCATAACCTGAACACATTCTGAAGAGCCTACAACAGAGGGGAAGTAACACCATGAACAGAAAAATCACTCTGTATCTGATTGATACTGGACACTTTTAATTCTGACATGTCGAATTCTCCTGAAGTCTGCTAAAATCATACCCATGAAATGCCTCAAACCTGACAGAAGATATAGTCAACCTCTATCTACTTTGGTAACCCTTCTCAACTGTAATTTGATTACATCACTCTTTATTAACCTTAGATGTTTATCTCCTCACACTTATTTAGCTGAGTCATCTTCTATATTTATCTTGTTGACTAGGAATAGAATCCACGACGCCCATTTTGTTCTATTTGAAACTCATCATCTATTGTTTTTGTCAAATGTTTTTAACAAACTGAAATTAACTCACAACATCTTGCATGTCTTGTTTATTAACTTATCTATCTTATAACTAAGGTAACTGTATGATGTTCATTTGGATTATTCACGAAACTTCTAAGGGATTGTGTATGCAGTTGTGACCATTCGATAATAAATATTTTTTTAGTGATTTCAAACTGCTTAGTTCTTTTCTCTAGCATTTTACTCTCAAGCTTCTTAGTTAACTTCATAGAATATCGGTCAAACAATTCAGAACTATGCTTTAGAACTCTATTGTTCCCTAATGTTTAAAAAACGGTAATAACAAGTAGTAAAATCTACTTTAAAGTGAAGAAAATTAACAAAATATTGTCAAGGTGACATGTATTATGATAAACCCGATTTTCTTCTATTGTTTGCTAATTAGTCTTTTTGATGACCAACTTATGTAGTAATCATTTCCAAGTACTTGTGGAGGTTTGCACGATATCTCCGTCAACAATAAATTTCTTTACGCTCCTGAATTTTCTTAGATTGAGTGGCATATTACTAGATTTTATAAAATAAAACTGACCTTTATATGCACACATAGGATTTCAGGCGGCTAGCCAGTTTTATAAATGACTGGAGACTTTTAATCGATCACAGATTCGTATCTTTAGAATTCTACCATGTTCATAGCAATGCAAACTACCCTTAGAGGTTAATTTAATAACTGTTAACTTACCAAAGCGGTACGAAGTAAAGAATACCATATCTTCCATGATTCCTCATTAAGTGCACACATTTCAACAATGACACGTGAATCAGCTTGCTGCGTTGAATGAGGCTGAGATATTCATAAAACAGAAAGAGTTGAGAATATAACACTCAGAATAGTCAAGTAAGCACAGTTCAATACCAAAAAGATATATTAGTTTGACTAACTGAGTTTGCTGTAGTTTGGCAGACGTGCATTATTCATACTGGGTGATAATTGAAGGTGAAATGAAAAGTTTGACGGCGGCAGGATTCGAACTAACTACCACCAATGACTTTACCAACTAGCCTACAAGACCTGCCTGCTGACTGGACATTAATTTTACGTCAGTCACCAAGAGGAGGCTCTTCAGGGCTTAATACATATCTGGACAGCTTATTAAGTTTGTGCTATATCGCTTCATTGTAGAATAAGGAGGGAATATCATTCTGCTGAGCAGATCATCTAAAATAGCCTTGTTTCATAGACCATTGGGTAAAGGAATCTCAGGGAATAAAGAGAAACTAAAGCTTGATTGACAGTTGAATCCATAACCAAGTCAACAAAGCATCGGATGTGTAAATCATTGACTGATTGACAGAACTCAAGTTGGTTTATTGCAAGTGACTTAAAGATAGCCTTTTCACTACAATTCACTTTAAATGATCATTCTACACAAATCATTCCACTGATTCTATATGATATGAGTTCAACCAAAAATTCTGTCATTTAACTGTACTAGCAGATGATAGGAAGCGACTTTAATGGAAATCAACGCTTTAACTCATCAGCCAATAAGATAGAAGTCTATGCATTTCCATTTTTATTTCATGTCGCTGTGTGGTCAGGAAAAACCTTATTGGATAATTTTGTCCTACAACTGACCAATCAGAATCAGCTTACCTCACAACCAAAGGATCATTTTGATATTGTTGGCTTTCAGTTTTGTTTGACTTAACAAAAGATATTTGTTTTGTGATCTCGTAAAACACTTTTCAGACTTTAAAATGTCCACTATTTAGAAAACATTTTGCTGAGCGTTGGAACTAATTATGAAAATGCTTTTTAGAGAGGTTTATTCAGCTGATAACTTGTCCACTTCGATAATGACTTCTAGTTTAGGGATTTCACAGACCTTATGTTCGCACTTAATGGTTTTTTATAATGGACAATTTTTATTTCATTCAGTTTTGATGAAGTATTTTATAACAATTGTAATCGTCTCAAAATCGGAAGGTCATGGGTTCGATTCCTGGTAAGGGTACGCATTGTCAAGGAGTCTCACACTAGACAGGGACAGATGTTCAGTGCTCTCAGGTTTTCAATGGTTCTCCAACGGACATCAGTTCCTGAAGAATATCAACTTAAAATTACGCATGATGCCCGCTTAAGCTTATGATAAGTTAAGTTACTGTGAATGACTTTGTCTACAATTAGGATACATAGTGATTCCTTGAATGATTCTTAGGGAAGTGTTTCCAACTATACAAGCTTTTAATGGTAATGTTTTATTTTTCTAAACCTGGATTGTTGATGAAGGAAGATGGCAAAGACACTTTTTATGCAGTTTTTATCTAATCTCTTGAAATATTTTTATTATTTGTCTCTTGGGTCACTAATTGAACATAGGGATTCAGTAGGACGTCTCCATTTCACTCTCTTCTCTGAAATCTTTCGAACCTGGCTCCACGACTGCCCACAAACTCTCTTTTCTTCCTTATACAATCTCCTCCATATCACCCTCGACTCGGATGACCAACTCGTCGTTTCCCATTTGGGTTCCACTCGAGTGCCTGGCCTGGTGCGTGATGTCCTGGAATGGTCTTCTCAGTGTATGCACAGTTCAATCCATCTACACTTCCTTCTGCATATTTTTTGGGTGATAGGTTGTTGGTTGGTTCGTCGCCAGCCAGTCAGACTTCCTTGTTGCTTATTCTCATTATTCTGGCCATCTGATCTTCATTAACGAGCCAGTGTAGGCAGTTGTTGATGAGTGTCTGCAGTTTGTTGGAAATGCTTTTCGTAACGCACCAAGTCTCAACCATATAAAAGCACTGACTTGATGTTGGTGTTGAAAATCAGTATATTGTTCACGCTCTATGTTGAGTGCAGAAGATCTCCTCACTGGTCTCAGGTTAATGAACACCTGTCTTGCTTCTCCGATCCTGACTGGCTTTGACGTCCTCGTCTGTGCCTGTGTCTGTGCCGTCTGTAGTTGAAACAGTGCTGCCTAGGAAGGTGGGTGAAAGAGACTACTTCCTTTAAGTGATAGTGACTGGAGCTTGTTGATGGTGTTGATGTTGGTTGGGTATCTTCATCACCTCTGTCATCTCTACATTCACTTGAAGTCCTATCTTCTCTTCCGCTTCTGCCAACTTGTTAGTTTTCGCCTGTAGATCTTCAAGTCTGTGCGACGTTAGATATAAATTATCGGTGAAATGCAGATCTTCTAGGCTCTTTTCATCAGTCCAGTGTATCCCCCTTCCCTCGCTCCTCACTGTCTGCTGCATGATCCAATCGACTCTACCACAATCAGGAATATCTTTGGTGATAGTAGACAGCCTTGTTTCACTCCTGTCTTAACTTCAAAAGCATCACTGAGCTTTCCATTGTGAATTACTTGACATGTGGTGTCTTCATATAGTTGTTGAATGAGACTGATAAATGTTTGTGGTATTTCATAGTGTTGAAGCAGCTTCCAAATTACTTGTCGGTCGATGCTGTCAAAGGCCTTCTCAAAGTCGATGAAGTTGAGGTGTAGAGTTGACTGCCATTCTATACTCTGTTCTATGATGATACGAAGCGTTGCAATTTGATCCCATATGACTTTTACTTCCTGAATTCAGCCAGTCAGCCAGCCTGTTACGGCCATAGTTGTGAAACCAGCGCATCCTTTAGTCTCTCCAGGATGATGTGGCTTAATATTTTGCTTGCTCTGGGTGGACAGGAGCGTGATTCCTCGCCAGTTCTTGCAAACACTTAGGTTGCCCTTCTTCGGGAGTTTGACAAGGTAACCCTTCTTCCAATCTTCAGGTACCTCCCCTCCTTCCACACCTTCTCCAATAGTGGTGTGAGCATGTCCGCTGTTATCTCTGCGTCTGCTCTCAGTGCTTATGGAGGGATTCCATCTGGTCCTGCGGCTTTCCCGCATTTCAGCAGCTTTATGGCACTCAGAACTTTGACCTTTGTTGAAGGATTTGTGTTCACTTGTAGTTCTGTGGCTGGGCTGCAGGTGGTGGTCGATTCAAGAGCTTTTTGAAGTGGTCATCCCATCGTTTCCTTTGTTTCTCTTCTTTGGTAATTAAATTTCCTTTATCATCTTTTATTGGTTTCATGTGTGTTGATATCTCTTAAAATACCAATCATTTAATCCTTTTCAAAGGCGATGGAATGACTGTTCACCTTAGTGGCATAGATAATGAGGCAACAGGAAACCAATAATATTCAATTTATTATATTAATGAAACTTGTAATTTCCGGTTGCTATACAAGACGAAATTGCTCGACCTCTGTTTGCAGATGGGCTCCTATGCGGATACCTCGATATCGCCGAATATTTGTGATGTTATATTGATCTTGGTGACTAGCAGAGGAATTCAGAACGCGCATTTCATCCTATTTAAGACTAGTCAAGTAGATGTACCAGCACCCCAGTAAGTGCTGTTGTTTCCACCCGGGGTTCAAACTCAGTGCCCTTCACTTCAAACATCAAACGCGTTGTCCGCTATGCCACTGGGGCATGATAGCCCTGCCCAGCAACGGGAAATTAAGAGTATCATTACAACAACTGATACTCATTGCAAAAAAGGTAGCTGTCATGCTTCAGTAGCTTAGTGGAGAACGCATTTGGCATTTGAAGTAAAAGGTACTGGGTCCGAGCCTCGGTAGGAACAACATTACTCACTGGGGTGCAAGTGTATCTAGATGACTAGTCCCAAATAGGACAAGACACATGTCCTGGATTCCTTTGCCAGTCACAAAGATCAATATAATATTCACTTCAAATAGTCGAATCTAAGTTGAAATAATTTTATAAACATTTACTTACCCTTACAACCAGTCCAAATGGGGTAGGAGATTCTGTATTGACTTGATTTGGCATTGTAATGTATAGATACAAATTTGGTTGAAAGATATTCAAACGTTTTATTGAAGACTTCTATATGTTCAACATTTCAACAACACGAAGAAGATAAAAATAAATAACGTTTATTTGTGATTTTATGAATGATTAGGAATCAAAGTGAAGTTTAAACTTGTAAATTTTATCAATGGTCAGTTACATTCACTAAATCAATCATTTATACGGTTTAGTTTACCTTAAATTAAACACTACAATAAGAGGAACTGATATTAACAACAGAAGTCGTGCAACCCGATCCAGTATACTGACACAAGATTACAAGAATCAAACAACAAAAAATGGTACTCGTTACACAAGAAGTGGCTGTCGTATTCCAGTGACTAGTGGATAACACTTTGGCATGTGAAGTGATAGGTATTGGGCACCAAGCTCACTAAGAACATCACTCACTAGCTGGCGATTCCCAGACTAGACGAAACGTACGGCCTAGATTCCACTGCTAGCCACGAAGAAGATATCAGTGACTGAGTATCTTTTATTTAGCTATAGTTAAACATAAGTCCAGCTGTTTCATGTGACGAAAAACGGGTAAAAAGAAAATTCTATATCAATAGGGCAAATAAGTTTACCTTTAATGTTTATATTGTGGAAACTGTTCACAAGTTCAGGTGAATCTTCTTGAGGGAATGGGATGACTAAGATTGCCTTACAGTTTTGAGAACAGTTTTGAGAACAGTTATGTCTAACACCAAAGGTTTCACCATCTAAATAGTCTGTAATAAAGACCTAACTTCAGCAAAACGATCAAATTTTCAGTCAACAAACTGATAAGAGAGTTAAATAGCAGAATAGAATTCAGTATATCTTGGTAAACACTTCAGTAATTTAATTTTGAATCTCTTGGTTGTGCGGCTATGGGAAATTTCACTGGTGTATCGTACTGTAGAACATCTCCCTCAGTGAGGTACAATAACTTTCGACTAGATGTGACCTCTCCAATGTCTCTTCAGTTAATCTCATATTTTACTAACCATGATCTATAGAATGGAATAATATGGATTCTTAGCTGTGATCTTCATCAAACGCAAAGTTAAATACTTTTCAAAAGCTTTCTGGTACTGTCAGCACTACTTGAAGAAGATGAGACTATTTCACTATGCTTAAGGCTTCACTTTTCTCCTTATAACAACATTTTTATGTGGCACAGTTCAACATAGAAGTGGCCATTGGGATTTTAAAGGAATCATTTCATCCCCCCCCACGCCCCCCGGCATCCCTCCAAGAGAAACACTTCAAAGTTTTCCTACACTTTAAACGGTGAAACATTCTGAAAGTTCAGCTGCACAATACACTGGTCAAATAAAATCACATGTTACCAGTAATTTTTGAGTAAACTCTCTAACACTAATATCCATGCTGAAATTGGAAATGAACGCCTTTTCGAGGTTCTTAGATTAAAGATTTTGGGATCACTTTACTTTTCGATAATAATGTTCATTCGACAACTTTGGAACATAAAAGAATACCCATTACATGTCGGTATCGTAATCTCTGATTGGATTGCATTATTTATGCTGCATACCCCTAATTTTTGCATAGCTTTTACCTACTGTTCTGCTCATGACCTTAAAGTAACATATATAGCTATTTTCACACCCCTACTAGTTTCCCCCCCTCCTCTCAAGGCTGAATTCTTACTGGTTGTTAACTATTTTTGCTTACATGTGGATTTAGTGTTATCAAGGTTATTTAGAAATATAAATTTTCAGCATCCCTGTCAACTGTATTGACTGTTGTTGTGACAGTTAAAAGCTCTATGTCAACGATCTATCTTCTCTTCTTGTCTATGCATGTGGGTGATATTGTTGTGGTGATGGCTGATGCTCAGATTTGCACTGAAGTCTATTTGTTTGCGCGTTAAGTTCGTATCGTTCGTAGTTTGCTAGGTCATACTACCGGTTATAGCAATTTACTCTCTTATTTTGTTATTTCATTGTTTAAAGCTTACTACCTATTACCTCCTCAAGGAAGCTGGAATAACAGCTCTTAAAAAACCACATTCATTTTTTGTTCTTGATAGGTTCAACCACATTTATATTATTATTTGTCCCTTGGGTTCCTGGTGGATTATAAGGCTTCAGCAGGACGTCTCCACTTCACTCTCTTCTCTGAAATCTTTCGAACCTGGCTCCACGACTGCCCACAAACTCTCTTTTCTTCCTCACACAATCTCCTCTATGTCACCCTCGACTCGGATGACCAACTCGTCGTTTCCCATTTGGGTTCCACTCGAGTGCCTGGCCTGGTGCGTGATGTCCTGGAATGGTCTTCTCAGTGTATGCACAGTTCAATCCATCTACACTTCCTTCTGCATATTTGTTGGGTGATAGGTTGTTGGTTGGTTCGTCGCCAGCCAGTCAGACTTCCTTGTTGCTTATTCTCATTATTCTGGCCATCTGATCTTCATTAACGAGCCAGTGTAGGCAGTTGTTGATGAGTGTCTGCAGTTTGTTGGAAATGCTTTTCGTAACGCACCAAGTCTCAACCATATAAAAGCACTGACTTGATGTTGGTGTTGAAAATTAGTATATTGTCCACGCTCTATGTTGAGTGCAGAAGATCTCCTCACTGGTCTCAGGTTAATGAACACCTGTCTTGCTGTCTCTTCAATCCTGGTTTTGACATACTCATCTGTTTCGTCGTCTGTAGTTGAAATGATGTTGCCGCGATAGGTGAAAGAGGCTACTTCGGTTCCATCACATGCTTCATAGTATTGCAATTATATTCTTTTATAATCTGATTGGAAAACAGCATCAAGTGTGACTGATTTCGGTTTAGATTCTGAGACAGTCTAAAAATTCTAGAATATTCGTAAATGTATAAATTCATACCCAGAAGATACTCCTTTCCATTGGGCATTCAAAAGGCTGCCGGATTTGAGAGATGAATATTTAGAAAAGTATTGAATGTTGTTTACTTTATTGATTTAGACACTCTATTGAGGACCCAGAAAGTGATCGAACTAGAGACCTTCTTGGTCTCACAGAGAACGCATTGACTGTTTAGCCAATGTGTGGGAGTTCAGTAGTCCTCAGCTTTCCTACTTTTATTAACAGTGGGCAAAATTGTCAAAGTGTTCCCCACGAAACCTGAAGGTTCCGTGATCTATCCATGGTAGGGTTACAGATGCATACTGCCAAGGAGACCAATGTTAGGATAAAATAGCTACCCAGCGCTCAATACTTTTCAATAGTTCTCGAAATGACTAACTAATAATTTGAACTACTGAGTATTGATTAAATGGTTCTCAGAAATTACGACTGAATCTCCAAGATTCTGACAACAAATATATAAGATATGCTTTTAATGGTATAAACTGTTAATTTTTTTCGAAGTATGCCTAGTTTTGTAGCGGCTAGTAATGATTCCACATTACGATACCCAACAAACAAAACACTCAAAAAGATGAAGGACGGAAGGAAACATTGAAGTTGCTACTCAAACTAAGATCATAAATTTTGATTTTATTTTCTTACTAGGGGTTAGCAATGAAATACAGGACGCTCATTCCCTCTAATTTGAGACTCATCAGCTAGATGCACTCACATCTCCCACTGAGACTCGAACCACGTGGCCATCACTTTCAATACCATAGAGTTATCTCACTGATCAACAGCAAAGACCACAGAGCAGTACTAATCGATGTCAGTTTTCGATGAGCACGAATGTGAAATCAATAAACCCTCCACAAACTTCCAAACTGAAGTACTGTCCAATTATCATTACTGACTTATTTCAAGATATGATTACCCGAAGTTCTAATAAAAAGTCAGGGGCCGTGCAGCTAATCAAGTAAGAGGTGAATGAAGGTCACGTCACATCCCAAATTGACAGATGTAGAAAAATGTGAACTGTTAGGTTCCAAGCAAATAATTGAATGTTAGCACGCTTGCTACGAAACCTGAATTCTCCAGGGTTCGCTCCCTGGTGGAGGTCTATGTTCACACAACTGAAGAGTCCCATATTAGAACGAAACGGTTGTTCAGTCGTCCTAGTTTCCCAGTGATTCTCCAAAGGAAGTCGATCCGTAATGAATACCAACTTGAAACAGCTCATTTGTTAGTAAGAAGATTGGATTGCATAAATTCCTGCATTCGACATAAACTTTGAAGTGTTATCCAATAAAAACTTATGATATTTCGATGAATACTCTATTGGAGTAAGAATATATCAGAAATCACGACACGTCATGGCATTGTGATAGTGTAGAGGGATATCTTGGACAGACAAAACACAAAGAAGATCAGGGAATTCCTAGACGCTTGACATTCACATCAGTCAGTCAGTCAGGCAGTCAGAAATCAATAGACAGATGTACAGATATGGACCCAATCTATCAACCAATGAGAAAAATGACAAACGACAGAAAGATCAGAGGTGAAGCGGGGGAAGAGCCAACAAGAAAATCTGTACAGCTAATGACACAACAGTTCGTGGAAACCACCGATCACGAAGCAGTTTGTCAGGGTAAGTTACTAAATCACTCACCGAGAGATACTGACAGCTCACTACAGACTGAAGTTAGTGTTGAAGATGTCATCTGGAAAGATGATGAAAGCTCAGACAGCACAATACAGCGAAGAGTAAGAATGAATTACGTTGTAAAATGAAGAAGCCATCTTATCTTCCCTCTCCTTCAGTAATAGTTAATCTGAAGAGGTCGCTTAATAAAAACTCCCCTTTAGATTGAATGCAGTAGGATTGTAAAATGGTAGCAAATAATTGTTGGTGTACACATGGCTTCAGTTTGTATTGGAAAATGTTGTCAACTCAAAGCGTTAGTATCACAAATGGACAGACTTTAACTTCAGTTCCAGTTCCAGTTAAGTAGATTTACAGTACCACGTCCAGCATCATCACTTATGTGACCTCACTACATAAATACAATAAGGCAACAGTTAAATTATCTGCAAAAGCTAGAAGTATTTGATTTTTCAAGTCGATATTCATCGTGGATTGACGTCAGTTGGAGAAGGTCTTGAGTTCTATCCCTGGTGAAGTTATGAGTGCGCACTACTGAGGAGTCTCATACTAAGGCAAAACAGATGTCTAGTGCTTCCAGGTCCCCAATGCTCCTCCAATTGGTGTTAGTTCATGAGGAATTTCAACCCGAAGTCTAATAATAAATCTCGACCAACCTCCAGATTGAATTAATCTAGTGTTCATTGGTGATTAGCTTCAAGAGGTGATTCCTGAAGTTGCAATGAAAAGTCGTGACCAGTGGAGTCGATAATGTCGAACATGAGGAGGATTACACAACGGCGACATTGGATGTAGGTTGTGCGATATCATGAACCGACAGAAGTAGGAAATATGGACCGGTAGATTCCAACCGAGTGGCTCAATGGTAACGCACTGACCACGGAACCTTGAAGTCCTGGGTTCGATCCCCGGTAGGGTGGGGGTCATGAGTGCATACTGTTGAGGAGTTCCATGTTGGGGTGGAACAGCGGTCGAGTGCTCCCGCGTTTCTAATGTTTCTCTAACTCATGTCAGTCCATGATGAATATCAACTTGAAAAAGACCACCATAATCCCACAAACCACCATATAAAATATTCAGTTTTGTTTAATGTTGTGTGTGATAGCTGAAGACGTAAGACAGAACCGTTTCTAGTGGGATTTGTACGACTGGACTTAAATCAGTGACCAGGTTCTCATATAACTGAGGTGCAAACTGTGATTACAAATCAATTTCTACAATGTGTTCAAACTACTTACATCTGGTGATTTTTGTTTACTAAAATATAAACCATTTTTATTCAAATGAAAGTATCTTCTTTTCCATTTTGTAGGTCCAATACGTAAATACAACTGATCTGTATGTGAGGGTAAGCTGAATTTTTCATTTCGATTGAAAATATTCTACAAAATTAAAAAGAAAAATAAACAGTGATGAGAGAAATGAATTATTGAAAGAAATACTTATGTAAGAAAAAAAGAATTTAGTCGTAGTGCGCAGTAATTTATATGAAGCAGTGACATTCTTAACGGTGATTAAATAATACTTGACCCCACATTGAGATATATTTGAACCGTTCCAAAATAAACTCAGTCATGATCTAAATATTTTTATAGTGGAGATAAATTCTTATATAAAGCACAAGATCGTTATCTCCAAATGGGTGCCAGTTCCATTATGGGCTGGCTTAGGGAGTTGACAAGTGATTTGTTGGTTTGAGGTAGACAGGGAGTAATTTTAACCCTCACGTAATAGGCACAACCCAGAAATGTGCTAGTTGGATTCAGATCCAACTTCTCATTGTAATCGACATTTTTTATTACTGATGTTCATCTTCAGGAAAGTTTGAGTTTACTTCGCACACATAACACTAAACGATGGTGAAAGTTTAAGCAAATTGTGGAAGTCACACGTTGTAATTCAGTAAATGACCAGGTCCAGAGCTTCCTGCCGATTGCCCTCATCCAACTGATATCGACCAAAGTACATCAAGACACTGATATGCCTAGTCGAGTAGCCATCCTCCAGTGACCAATCAATGTATCTAACCAACCCTACACAAAATCAGTCCTACCCCGAATAGCTCCGCGGTTACACCGTTGACTGGTTCAAATCTCAGGCGGTATGTCAGTCCCTTCGGGGTTGCAGATAATCAACATAATGCTATTATCCACTCTCTAATCCAGCCGGGTTAGGATGAGAACGCCTGGCTGGGCAGCCAGTGTGGAGTAGATCATGTGAAGGTAATGCATCACGAATTCATATGGTAGTCGAGTGAAACTCTTAGCGATTGCAGTGAAATTAAAATCAAGTCAGCAACCGCTCTTCATTACTCAGCTGATACAGCACTAGGCCAGTAGCTTGGAAGTCTTTGGTTTGATGCCTGTTGTAACCCAGATTTCCATTTCAACCTCAATCATCACCCAGTATTAATAATACTAGTCTTCCAAACTGATAATGCTGTTTATCCCTAGTTTGTGCTGGAAGCTTACTTCAATTCCTTTATTATGTTCCTATGGAAAGCAAATGAGAGATTCCGCAGGAGATAGCAGAAAGGTACAAAATATAATTAAGCTATTTTACTATTTGTAACTGGTAAGAAGCGGCCTAAATGTAAATCAACATAATGAGTCAATAGCCTCTAGTGTAGAAGTTTTTGTATGACAATTTTTGTTTTTCGTTACTGCGTGGTTAGGAATAACTTTATTGGACAATTTATCCTTCAGTTGGCCAATCAAAACAAATATCCAACTTTTGACCTAGTGCCTTTATTATATGTTCTTGAAAATGATGTATTTTTTGTCTTCCCTACAGTCTAAGGTTGATTTTTGTCTTTTGATTTTTTTCAGCTAAGTGAAATATAAGATTTTGAGGGAGAACAGTCGGTAATCGTATCCACTTCAAGCGTTTCATCGTGTTTTTATTCTTATTATTCGATTCAGTCATTCCATTCATGAGATACCAGTTACAACTTTAGGTTAGACTAATATTTTAGAGGAGAATGTAATTCAACTTTGATTCTGGACATACTCTGTGAACGTGTCATTCTGGAGGAATTAAGCACAATCTGGTGGTTCACCTTCTACCAACTCAACTCATATTTGTTGCAAATTCTTACAGTAATTGGAATTCTGCGATCCCCATCTATCTAAACTTTAATCAAAGTCTCTGTATGGTTTTTAGACACTAATTATCGTTTAGAACTGAAGACGTACGGTTGCTTTTAGCATGTATACTCAAGTCAATATTTTATTCAAGATAGCTTTGCATGCTGTCAGAAAAAACTAAAGTTATTTTGATATTCAATTTACTTATTGTATTAATTTTTCTGTTGGAATAGTTAAAATTTAGAAATCACCTTTATGAGATCATTGATGGAAAATGGTAAAAAGTCATGAATCCAGGTTTCAGGTCTCCCAGCAGCTATCAGCAAGGTGTATCTTTGATTTCAAAGGAACCAATATTCCGTATGAAATTAGAGGCTGCGATCCTCCAGCTAAGCAGTCAGAGATATTATCACTAATTTATTTCTGCCAGGGAAATAAAAGAAGTTAGAAAATCCTTGAAAAGTCTAACCATAGTTCCACTGACTTCATGAAGCAGATAAATTGAACTTTATTGCCACTCATGAAGGTGATTTTAACTGTCAAAATAGATTGATGCTTTATTTTAAGACTTTGAGAAATATGTCTATTCTTAGTGAGTCAGTATTGAAGGAGAGGTAGTTTTCATGTTTGTTGGTCATCAGAACCTGTTTTCCGGGATTGACTGACGTAGGCTGAATACGTACTCGTGAGTCATAGAGCATTGATCATAAATTCAGCCTTATTACAGTTTTTCAGGGTGTAAAGAAATCGTTAATAATAAAAAAAATATTATGAAATATGCCTCAATAATATATCCACAGTGAATTTCAATTTGGCATCTCTGACTTCTGCAATGGGTGATGCAGTATCGAATCTCTCCGAAGATATCACCTTTCTATAGGCAGGATATAATCCAACAAGCAAGAAGCCTATACCCGAATTTTCCAACTAGTTGCCTTCAACCATCTAATGCATATTATTATTATTATTACTATTACTATTTGTTCCTTGGATTCCTAGTGGGATCTAGGCCATCAGTAGCCCGTTGCCATTTCACTCTCTTCCCTGCAGTCATTTGGACCTAGCTCCACCAGTGCCCATCAGCTTTCATTTCTTCCTCACATCATCTCCTCCATATCACCCTCGACTCGGACGCCCAACTCGTCGTTCCCTATTTGGCTTCCACTTGACTGCATATATCACCACTTTTTTCTGTATATTTGTTGGGCGATAGGTTCTCGGTCGGTTAGTTGCCAGTCAGTCAGCCAGCCAGCCAGCCAGCCAGAGTTCCTTGTTGCTTATTCTTATTATTCTGGCCATCTCATCGATCTTCAATATCAACCCAGCATAGGAGGCAGCTGTTGATCAATGTCTGTAGTTTGTAGCAAATAACTTTCATAACGTGCCAAATCAGTCCCTCAACCATCACACAGAAGCACTGACTCACTTGACTGACATCAGTGTTGAAAATCTGGATATCGTTCACTGTTTATGCTGAGTGCAGTAGATCTCCACACTGATTTCAGATTAATGAAGGATGGCCTGTCTCGCTGTCTTTCCAATCCTGCCATTGACATACTCATCTGTGCCGCCACCGCAGCCTGTAGTTGAAACGATTCCGCCTAGGCAGGTTGGTAGGTAGGTGAGTGGGTGAAAGAGACTACTCCCTTCAGACTTCTCCCATTGATGATGATCGCTGCTTCTTGTTGTCGTTGTTGTTGTTGGTTGTTGCTGTTGTCGGTTTGGTATCTTTATCACCTCTGTCTTATCTACACTCACTTGAAGATAGTTCCGTCTTCCTTCGCTACCTCACCTCGCCTCGTCTCGCCTCTCCCCACCTCTTCTCCCAACTTGTTAGTTTTTGAGATGTGTAGATCTTCGAGTTTGTGAGACAAGACATTAGACATAAATCATCATCATCATGAGGAAAATCCAAATCGTCTGGGGTCTTTTCATCATCACATCGGTCCAGTCAGCCTATGTCCATCTCCTCGCTACCCCCACTTGTCTGTTGTATGATCCAGTTCAGTTCAGTTCAGTCCTATCCAGTTGACCACAATCAGGAAGATGATCGGTGATGGTAAGTGGCGTGCTTGTCTTACTCCACTCTTCACTTCACTTCACTTCAAAGGCATTACTGAGGTTTCCACTGTGAACCACTTGGCATGTAACGTCGTCATATAGCATATAGTTGTTGCTGAATGAGGTTGATGAAGGTTTGTGGCACTAAAACGGTAGTATTGAAGCAGCTCCCTGTCAAATTATTTCTTAGTGGACACTGTTGAAGGACTTTTCAAAATCGATGAAGTTGAGGTAAACATTCAGTTGACTGGCATTCTATACTCTGTTCTATGATGATGTACAACGTAGTGTTGTAATTTGATCTGCACACGACTTTTTTTGTCTAACGCCTATAATTAGGCATAATAAAATAAGGTTTCGAATTGAAAATATTACCAAGAAGCTATTAAAAGCAACTTACTTTATTGGAAGTAATACTGAAGGCAGTAAAATGTTCCCCCAACCAAATCTGGAAAGAAATTTTTTGTAAGCAAGTAAAATATAGTTTATTTTCCAATATTTAGTAAAAATATATTAACAGTTTCACACCTACATACTCTTATGCATACATGAATACATAGTTCAGCCTAAAAGTTAATGTAACATTAAAAATTGTACTTTTGACAAGTGAAATGGGAGCTGTTTCAGTAATTTAATTTCTTTTTTAGCCCCCATTTGATTCATGACTTCTAATTACTAGTTAATTATTAGTTTACTTTTCTAAGGGAAAAATCATGATATTTTCTTTTGAGTTCGTAGATAATATATTACGAATATAAATTTTACAGTAATGAAAATAGTCGAAAATCTTGTTGAGGATTGTATTCTTTAGGGCTATATTCATTATAGACTGATTTCAGTTATAGAATTATTTAAAACCTGGATAACCATTTCGTCCTGGTATAGAACTCCTTAGCAATACGCACCAGTGGCATCGCTATGTATCGAATCTTCCAGTACCCCAAAGTTTTCCAATAGTTTTCCAACTGATGTCAGTCTGTACAACCTTGTTAACATCATATTTGAGGTTATGAATCGAAGACCATCAACAATCAAAGATTCACTCATTGAATTTTGATAGAAGTCTGGAACAAAGTGATCTGTAAGGGTATGCATTGGTAAGCGATACATGTTGAAGATAATTTAATCAACGAATTTGTCTGATTTGACAAAATTATATACGTTTAAAACTGTCAAGCTGATTTACTAAATTCGTTCCACAACCTTCTTCCCTATCTGTCTGACAAATCGTGTGGAATTCTTAAGTAAAAGATGAAGTAGCGTAAGGGTAAAACTTAGGTATTAAAGTAGGACATATTTTCCTATCAGACAGGTATTTCTGTTGTATAACACAGTGTTACAGCAATCTTTACTCAACTTGATTTTGAGCCCAATCTGTTGTTCACAGTCATTTCAAAGTAATCACATTAATTAGAAAGTTTACTTCCATAGCCCAACAGTCCATAATTCTACAATGTTTAACGGTTCAATTGTCTGCATGTATCAGGTGTTGATCGAATGAAAGAGGATTCAGTGATGAATATCCTGTCCATCTTGAACTTTAGATTTAGCATGCCGTCTATCTCTATGGTGCAATTATGAGCCAAACTATGTAAAGCGGTAGCCGATATAGCACGAACCATATCCAATGTCGCCATTGTGTAATCCTCCTCATGTTCGACATTATCGACTCCACTGGTCACGACTTTTCATTGCAACTTCAGGAATCACTTCTTGAAGCTAATCACTAATGAACACTAGATTAATTCAATCTGGAGGTTGGTCGAGATTTATTATTAGACCTCGGGTTGAAATTCCTCATGAACTGACATCAATTGGAGGAGCATTGGAGACGTGGAAGCACTAGACATCTGTTTCGCCTTAGTATGAGACTCCTCAGAAGTGCGCACTAATAATACCACTTGAGACCATTGGATTCCGGTCCAGTGGATAAATGGTAGAGTGCTGGCCCCGGAACTAGAGGGTCCTGGGTTCGATCCCTGCCGGGGTGGGGTAGTATGTGCGTACCTTTGGAGTCCCTTATTAAAATGAAGCAACTGTCGAGCGCTCCCAGGTTTCCAGTATTCCTCCACTTGATGTCGCTCCATGATGAATTTCAACCTGAATTCGTAAATAAGATTAGGTTGAGTAAAATCCAAGTGTCTGTTTGGGTGTAATGGTTTTCTATCCAGATTAGTTAAAAAACTACAACCTCTTCTTTGGAATTTACAGTTCAACAAACGCAATTCGCATCTTCGATTTTTCATTTCATAGTGAAGCAAAATGGATCTATTATTGGGTTAATTTATAGCAAAAGCTGGTGTGGTTTCAGAAATGTAAATGTTTTATCAATCAGTCTTCACTGCATATTTGGAATGTCCCTACACCTTCAGATAACCAAAGTTGGTTAAAGGCTAAATTAGTTGATATTACTCACCAGTTCTATAGTTCAGAAACAAGACAAAGAAGCATTTTGAGTTCACAGCACTTCAAATCTTTAAGAGAATTACGGAACAGATCGGATATAATCATTCTTAAACCCGATAACGGATCAGGTATCGTTGTGATGAATAAATCTGATTATAAAAATAAAATGCTATCCATCTTCAGCGACGAAAGCATTGTGTACTCTTTCGATGTAAATTCCTTATTCACTAACGTGCTATTGACCAAGACTGTTAGCATTCTGTGTGACCATATGTCCCGTAAAAACCTCCCATTTCTTATTACTTCAACCCTTCTTAGGGAGCTATTATTGCTGTGTACCGACAAAGTCCACTTCACATTTGAAGGTGAACGCTCTCGACAAGTTGATGGTGTAGCTATGGGTATAGTCCATTGGGACCACTACTAGCTGATATTCCTATGTCATATATCGAAAATCTGGCTAGTGATCTCATCACTAAAGTTCCTCTTTACAAGAGATATGTTGATGAAATCATAGTGATTTGTGGGACGCATGAGGATATGGTTTGTCTACTAAATAGACTTAACGCTGTACAAACACACATCAGCCTGACATGTGAGAAAGAGAATAGTAATCAACTGCCATTCCTAGATAAATTCCTCAGTCGACAAGAAGATGGTTCAATAAGACGGTCAGTTTACAGAAAGCCTACATGAACAGGACAATACCTGAATTTTCACAGTTTTTGTCCAATCCAATACAAGCGAGGTTTAGTAAAATGCCTGTTTAACAGGATCTATCATATCAGTACACTAGATGCGATGGATGAAGGCATCAAATTACTGACCAAAGCACTTATGGAAAATGGATATCCGTTGAAGTTTATAAACCGTTGTAGAGGTCAAGTAGCACCAAAGCCAACTCTATACACGGTCCTTAAGAAAAGCGTCCATATCACTCTACCATACAGAGGGGAGCTAAATAGTATCATTTTGAGACGTAGGCTAACATCAGCCATTGAGAAAACGTATTACGCAGCTAATCTTACCATTGTGGAGAAAACAAAACACATGCTTCACCAAAAACCTAAACACTGCACCAGTGATTACGTCACATCCCATTGTGTTTACCAATTTACATGTGTGTGTGGTCACACATACATAGGGAGGAGTAATAGAGTTATGCAGTTTATCACATAAAAATAAGCTTACCTCATATGACAATAAAATGTGTAGATGATTAAAGCTGACTCTAACTACTGATTACTTTTCAGTAGTGTATCGTAAGTTTGTGCATTTTAAATCATTAAGTTGTTATCAATCCAATGCTTTCGTCAATCCGCTTCAGCTCAAATAAGCCTCATTTTTTCTTTAGACATTATTCGCTGACATTTTCTTCTGTCTTTCTCTAAGGTTTGTTTCGACTCATTGGAAAAGTGAACTGTTTAACTATTTGTAAGTAATCATGCTAACTTTCTCAACAAGATGGTAGTTTGATATTAGGTATGGGTTATTAAATGTTGGGTAGTATTGGCTAGCAGTAGAATCCAAGACGTATCTTGTCCTATTTGGAACTCGTTAGCTGGATATACCTGCCTTCCTAATCAGTGATTTAGTTCTCACTAAAACTCCAAATCTGAACTAGTCACGTCGAACGCCAGGGCATTATGCACTATGGCATCGAGTCACGATAGCCACTCCTTGTACGACGAGCATAGCAAGCAAGTAGTGGCTATTGCGACTCACTGCCATAGCGGGGAACGCTCTGGCGTTCGACGTGACTAGTTCAGATTTGGAATTTTAGTGAGAACTAAATCACTGATTAGGAAGGCGGGTATATCCAGCTAACGAGTTCCAAATAGGACAAGATACGTCTTGGATTCTACTGCTAGCCAATACTACCCAACATTTAATAACCCATACCTAATGTCAAACTACCATCTTGTTGAGAAAGTTAGCATGATTACTTACAAATAGTTAAAGAGTTCGCTTTTCCAATGAGTCGAAACAAAACCTACTGAGAGACAAAAAAAGTGTTAGTGGATTCCTCTACTACCTACTTACTATCTCTACTTTCGAAATTTGGAATAACGACAATATTATGGCATCCACACAGGAGCCCATATGCCACTAGTGATTAATGAGTTCCATCCAATCAACGAAATAAGTCTACAACCTATGGCATCAAGATACAGGTCATATTTAAATCATTTTCAGTATTATTATTATTATTATTATTATTATTATTTGTCCCTTGGGTTCCTAGTGGAACATAAGGCTTCAGCAGGACGTCTCCACTTCACTCTCTTCTCTGAAATCTTTCGAACCTGGCTCCACGACTGCCCACAAACTCTCTTTTCTTCCTCACACAATCTCCTCTATGTCACCCTCGACTCGGATGACCAACTCGTCGTTTCCCATTTGGGTTCCACTCGAGTGCCTGGCCTGGTGCGTGATGTCCTGGAATGGTCTTCTCAGTGTATGCACAGTTCAATCCATCTACACTTCCTTCTGCATATTTGTTGGGTGATAGGTTGTTGGTTGGTTCGTCGCCAGCCAGTCAGACTTCCTTGTTGCTTATTCTCATTATTCTGGCCATCTGATCTTCATTAACGAGCCAGTGTAGGCAGTTGTTGATGAGTGTCTGCAGTTTGTTGGAAATGCTTTTCGTAACGCACCAAGTCTCAACCATATAAAAGCACTGACTTGATGTTGGTGTTGAAAATTAGTATATTGTCCACGCTCTATGTTGAGTGCAGAAGATCTCCTCACTGGTCTCAGGTTAATGAACACCTGTCTTGCTTTTCCGATCCTGACTGGCTTTGACGTCCTCGTCTGTGCCTGTGTCTGTGCCGTCTGTAGTTGAGACAGTGCTGCCTAGGAAGGTGGGTGAAAGAGACTACTTCCTTTAAGTTTCTCCCGTTGATAGTGATTGGAGCTTGTTGATGGTGTTGATGTTGGTTGGGTATCTTCATCACCTCTGTCATCTCTACATTCACTTGAATTTCTGTCTTCTCTTCCGCTTCTGCCAACTTGTTAGTTTTCGCCTGTAGATCTTCAAGT